CGAAGTGAGCGTGTATCTGTTATCAGTTAGACAATAGCTTTTCATGCAGTCATATTCGACTGCAATACTGAGAAATACAACGGTCTAAGAGAAGACCCAGCGATGTCGATTACCATCATTGACGTTCTAATAAGTTTGTACGTAACGGTCATCTGAACATACACGATTTCCATAATTAATGAGAGGGGGGAGGGGACGGCGGCCTGCTAGATTATCAAAAAGGGTAATGGAGCAACCGGACGTGAGAACCGTTGAATTATATCATAGGTATCTCCTCTGTTTTCAAAACAGGCAACATAAAGATTCAATAGAGCACACTCACATTAAGGACTAAAATATATTTATTAAGAATAAAAGCTTACGAAATTCAACTTGAATTATAAATACTCGTATGATTTCATGTGGTCAATTATCACTTCATAAATGAGATATGTTATCTAATAGCAACGAAATAACTTTATGATATCAATTCAATGATAAAAATTTTCAATTCACGGGAAACTTAGCGAAATTCGTTGAGAAACAATGGAATTGATGAATTTTCACTAAATTCTGCTTATGTTCATGCGGTAAGGGTACGGGGAGCAACTATGCGATGAAAATTCAATTCAGTATTCATTAAATTTGATGAATGCAGATTTTCAGAAATCTTCTCGATATTCGATTGTTTCACCGTTCGGATGATCAACGCTCCATTTCACCAGTAATTCCGTTTCGCTGTTTCCTTCCATATTAATCGTCCATTCAAGATTATGTTCAGCATTCATTTGAGCTCCTAATTTCGGTAGTTCACCTTTTTTGCGTGAATCAACAGCACTATCCGCTTGCGGATCCAGCTCTGGTGAGAGTAGTTTGATCTGTAATCGAACAAACTTCACGAATTACGCACGAATTCATGCTTGAGATTTTTAAACTTTGAATAACTTCTTAAATGACCCACTTATCAAAAACCCATTTCAACAGCACTGCTCATTCCTCTTCAGTACAGTAGTGACAATTATATCCAGTCATTTTTTGGAACAATTCTCTACGGCAAATTATCTTTCGAATAGAAATTCACTTGGATTCAAACTGTTCATTAGTAATTGAGAAAGTAGCATTGTTCATGCAAAGAATCAGCAATTTTGCTGTGATTCCTCCATTTGCGAATGATTCTAAAGAGAAATTCCAACTGAAAAAGTGACTTTTATTTTTTCATCGGTTGATTTCGGAACGTGCTCTTTGACTGTCAATAGAATGGCTTCATTTTTAGTGTTCTTGATCACAATTCGTTGCTCGTGAGCCGTCGACGAAGATTTTGCCAATATTCCAACCTAAATGCATCCTTGTTTGCAGCAGAATTTTTTACTTCGAAACATTCCACTCCACAATGAAGTAATAAAACTATTTCGTTCAGAGTGGATTCCAAAATAATTTGGCCGAGTCCTGGTTTCGGCTGCACNTTACACAAAAACGGTCGCACTGTTCAGTGACTTTAGTGACTTTCGAAATTTTTGGATGACGGATTATTTGTTTTTGAATTACAGCGAATTGAGCTGCAACGACGATACAATACAGTGAGTTAATGTATCTGTTCTGAATATTTTGACGTTTGCGCGCACTGAATCATTTCATAAGTATAGTTTCTCAAGATTGTGCAATAGTTTCGCAAGCACTGACTTGTCCTGAGTATTTATGTGCCGGTTTATATTCCACTTTGACCGCTGCATCAACGCCAAGAGAGCACAAAAATCGTTCATTCGGTGAAACGGCCTTGATTTCGCTCTGAAAAATCAAATAGATAGCCAAACAGTTGAATTATTCTCCAAAAAAAAGTTCAGCAACTAAACGCTCAACGGTTTTCATTAGCGGAAAACAATGATACGATCATATAACTTGCAGTAAATATTATACTATCACACAACCTAATCATACGATTGAATTTCTCGATACCTTAGCAACAAAACTATTGTTGAGATAGACATTTGCTTGGCCTGGAAGAAATGGAAATTGTGATGAGTTCAGTACTGAGGCAGCCAGGAATACGTTCGTGCTCTTGCACGGAACTGCCTCGTAGACCATTGTTGGGCTCATTTCCATTGTCGTAATCATGACTTTGTGCTCACTAGAGTCCGACGGGATGGTTGCGGGACGTGCTATCACAAACACCGTTGAGAGCACTGTATCACTGG